TCTGGCGACATCCGGACACCTACTGCGTCAATGAGGTTGAAAACACCATGTCTCCAGTCGATCCATTGGACCATAGCCAATTTCAGACCTATGACAAAAGGCCCTACCAAGACTCCTGGCATACTCTGTGCTTCAGGTTGTTACCACATCGCAGGCCTCGAACTCTACCAAAGCAGAGTTCTTCCACACCTACCATTACGCACTGCGGATGGAATCGTAAACAACGCTTACCAAGTTTATGGACAGATTCTTATTATGTCTGTGATATAATGATCAGCCTCGTTGACCACAGGCAGCACCTTGTGATCATCGTCATACGCCCGAACTGGGTAGTAAAGTAGAATGACGTCGCTTTCCTATACATACAATTATACATGAAGGCGTCAACTACACGCTGCCTTGTGACACCCAAACCAACCACTAATCCATGATTCTAATAGTACAATTTCCACATTTTGGGAATAACAAGAGTAGGAGTCTTTATATCGTTCATCTAAATTTCTCGCCCATGCCCAAACGCCACTCAAATCATGCCCTGCAACGTTCATCAACATCACCCTTCTTCAAGTTGGTGCTGCATGGTAGTTGCAAGACTAGCATGTATCATTTCCTATGCCGTACGCGCTCGGTATTTTAGTCCTCCTCTTCAGCTGACTCGGAGTCGCTCTTCTTCTGCTGAGCCTTCCACTCGCAGATCTTGCACGTGTTGGCCTTCTCCTTATCGACGTTGGGGAAGACAAGGTCAAAGACCTCAGGGTACCAGGCCACAGCATGACCTTCAAGACCCTCCTTGATATTCTGCAAGTATTTGTTAGTAACCAAAAAGTAAATATCGGATAAAATTGGGAAACATACCTCAGGTAGCTCTAGCCAGTCAGACATGTTGTCCTTAGGGAAGATGATGGTCTTGCAGCCAGCTCGTCGAGCAGCAACAGTCTTCTCACGAAGACCACCAATACGCAGCACCTTTCCAGTGAGTGTGATCTCACCAGTCATGGCAACGGTAGGGTCAACAGGAGCATCGAGAGCAAGAGAAAGGAGTGAAGTAGCCATTGTGATACCAGCTGAAGGACCATCCTTGGAGACGGCGCCATCAGGAACATGCAGATGCATCTTGGCCTTGTCGAAGAAGTGGTTGTCAGGGAATTTCTTGACCATGAAAGACTTGGCGAAAGAGTAGGCGATGGTAGTAGATTCCTTCATGACGTTCTTGAGGTTGCCGGTGATCTCGAGATGAGGTCGTGTAGATGGTCGGAGAGGAGCCTGGAGGATAGATTCGATGTACATGGCAGCGCCACCGAGTTGTGTCCAGGCGAGACCCATGGAAACACCAGGAGGGCTGACCTCATAGAGACGATCGGAGGTGAAGACGGGAGGTCCGACGTAGTCAGTGAGGTTGTCCTTGCCAATAACAACATGGACAGAGTCGGGAACGTTGAGCGGCTTGCGGGGCTTCTCTGTAGTCGCACCAGTCTCTTTGGAGCTGGACTCCTTACCCTCTGTAACCTCCTCGGCCTTGCTCTTCTTCTCAGCCTCCTCAAGAGCAGACTTGCCCTCCTCAGTGAGGGCCTCCTCTTCAGGCAGAACTTCCTCACCAAGCTCCTGGACGATCTTGAGGGCGGACTTTCGGTAGACCTTCTCGATCTGCTTCTTGAGATTTCGCACGCCAGACTCGCGGCAGTATGACTTGATGAGCTCCTCAATTGCTTCCTCGCTCAAGTTGACATCGGCGTTCTGAAGTCCAGCGGTTTCCTTGGCAGCGGGAGCAAGGTATCGTTGAGCAATGGCCATTTTCTCATCAGCAACGTAGCCAGAGAGGGTGATGAGCTCCATACGATCCAGCAGAGGTCGAGGAATTGTATCAGTCATGTTGGCAGTGCAAACGAACAAGACCTTGGACAGATCTACAGGCACGTCCATGTAGTGATCCAAGAAAGAGCTGTTCTGCTCAGGGTCGAGCAGCTCTAGCAGAGCAGAAGAAGGATCACCCTGGTAGCCTCGGCCAATCTTGTCAATCTCATCGATGAGGATGAGAGGGTTCTCAGTTTGACACTTCTTCAGCGCCTGGATCATACGACCAGGAAGGGCACCAACATAGGTTCTTCGGTGACCCTTGATCTCAGCAACATCTGTGAGACCACCGACACTGAATCGGTAGTACTCACGGTTAAGAGCTCGGGCAATCGACTTTCCAATACTTGTCTTACCCACACCAGGAGGTCCGACGAAGCAGAGAATCTTGCCCTCGACAGTACCTCGAAGCTTACCAACAGCGATGAACTCCAGAATGCGGTCCTTGACGTCTTTAAGACCGTGATGGTCCTCATCCAGAATCTTGACTGCGTTAGGAATGCCAAAGTTCTCGGCACTTCTCCTGCCCCAGGGTATCTGGGTGAGCCAGTCCAGGTAGTTCCTTGTGACGTTAAACTCGGAGGCAGCAGTCTCAAGATGAGCAAGCTTGTTAAGCTCCTCATCGAAGACCTTTCGAACCGCCTCAGGCATGGCAAGGCTGTTAGCCTTCTCCTTGAACTTCTCAACCAGCTTGTCCTTTCCATCGGATTCAAGGCCAAGCTCGCGGCGGATGCCCTTCATTTGCTCCATCAGCCAGTACTCGCGCTGTCTCTTACTAATCTTGTTTTCGACATCCTTGCTGATCTTGGACTGTAGTTGAGCATTCATGAGCTCCTTCTTCAGCACCACAAGAGCCTTCTGCATCCTCTCCTCTACGTTAAGGCATCCCAATACCTCTTGGAGCTCCTTTTGCTCGCCTGAGGATACGGCAGCGGCAAAGTCAGCAAGCTTGGCGGGTTCTGATGTAACATTTCCGGTTGATTGACTCATAGAGAAAGTGGAGATCTGGTCTCGGAAGAGATTGTTCATTGTGGCGACTTCCTTGAAAACGTTCACGATTTCGTTGGTGACGGCGCGAATGACGGGGCTCTTGGGGTCGTATGGCTCATCGACAAGGTTCTCGACATTGACCAGACTGACGGGGTACCTCTTGAGGAATGATGTTGGCTCGTACTTTTCAGCTGTCTGATCAGGCTTCTTCTCAACAGCGCTCTCCTCGAAGCTGGCAACAACATCTCCCTTCTTCTCAGGAGTAGCCTCCTCCTCTACGGGCTTCTGGGGAATCGGTTCGGGTGTGGGCTCAGTCTTAGCATCGGTCTTCTTGGTAGTATCTTGGCCACCAGGGGGTAGTAGGCTGGATAACTTGATACGGCGATGAGGGTAGAGGATAGCAGTCAAAGCACCTTCTTGGCCATGAATAGGAAAAGCGCTTGTGATTTGGGCGAAAACACCAACATCGTAGACGTCCTCAGGGTTCCTGATCACATCCTCATCCTCGTTCTCGTCCTTGAACAAGAATGCACCAACGTATGGCTGGCCACGCTTAATCGACTCAGTGATTGCATTCGCCACCTCGGGGTCCTTAATCGTAATAGCCTTATAAAAGCCAGGGAAAAGTGGTCGTCGAGCAATCGGGATTGCTAGGACTTGAGGGTAGACTTCAGGAACAACAGGCTTCTGAAGAGCCTTCTCAGCAGAAGGCTTTCTACCGCGACGACCTCCATCACCACCTGAGTTGTCACCTCCGGATCCCGAGCCAGCACCTCCAGCAGCACTTCCCGCCTTTCCATCATTCGATTGGCCAGCGTTATCGTTTTTTCCAGAGCCAGGTGAATCAGGGCCTGGATTCCTCGATTCGGTCAATAGTGGGCTATCGGCTTCCCTGCGCTTGTTCTCGATATTCGCCTTGGCCTCCTCGTCAGATAAGGGCTCCGTCAATGGCTCTATCGCAGACTCGAAGAAGCCCTTGTCATTGTTGTCCTTCTCTTTGGTGACTCGGGCAGATGTGGAAAAGGCAGCGGCGACTAACCGCGGTTGAATGGCGGGAAGCCGACGACCGCAGATGTGACGGTTGCGGTAGGCGGGAGAAGAAGCCCATCGAGCAGCGGTTGCTTCGGAAGATACTCGTGATGCGTGGACGAGAGAGCGCTCAAGAATGAGGCGCCCTGAGAGGCGTGAACGGGGAATCATGATTGGTGATGTGATGCGATGCGATTCGATTGTAGCGAGCACGGAGCTAGAGCTAGGATCCGAGGGGTTGAGAGACGAGAAGTAGAAGCTCCCCGCGATGGGCAGCTGTGGACTAGGCTAGACTGGACTAGTTGATACAATGAAGAATTAAAGAAGAAGAATGAAAAGTAAAAAGGAGAGAGAATGGTCTATCATAAGCAGTTGACAAGGATAACTAGACTAGCAGCAGGCCGCAATTGTCCGCATCACCGCTTGGCTTGACCTCGCTTTTGGTTTTGGTTGGTTTTGGTGGAGGCGACTTAATAATCGCGAACTCGGACTTTACTACATCATCCAAAATTTCGATTCTAAGATGTTCCGCGCTAGTTTAGTCAGCCACTGACCAATTAGACCCCGCTATCGGCTGTTGCGCCGGCCGTTATCAGATTGCGATACAACTACCGTTGCTCGCGTGCCTCAGCCAAAGCATTCTCAAGTCCCTGTGATTTGATGAAGATATCTAGCTTATTATTCTCATTTAACCAATTAGTATCAGGTTGATCATTATGACTTATCATATCTGTCACTACAAGATTACGCTGTCATAGATAGGCAACTAGTGAGATAGCTGATAACTAGGAGCCACATTAACAACATTCAACTCTCGGCTCATTTGTCTCACATATAAAGTTTTATGCTATGTATAATAACAAAATATCATATTGAGGTTATCAACGAAGCCGAGCTATCTATATCTATTAATGACCTTCAACATGATGAGGCATGAGACATTAATATCACAGTAAATAGAGGTCCTTCCAATAGACTCAAGCATTATGAGTTGATGCGCTTCTTCCTAACACCAGTACCATACTGAGTGGAATTGAGTTCCTGAGTAGCATCAGAACAACAAATACATATTCCTTTAAACATGTTTAACACAACTTACTGTAACTCATTACCACACTTACAAGTTGATGATCGACACTTCGAACAGTTGAGATTACCCTATACTTCTCCGCAACCAAACTTGGCAACGACTAACAAGCTTCCTTCTCCAATTGCATTTCTTTGTTCTTGATTCAAAGCCTTAAAGTCTTTGAGCTTCCATCCGTTCCATATCATACAATCATTTCCAGCAGAAGACATATTCTCTCCTCTCAGCCCTTGACAGGTTTCTCATCTCCACATCACTTGAGACATATTCAGCTCATTGATCTTAGCCATGTCACAAGATCAAGACGTTTCAAGCTCCCTCAAGAACCTGTCAATCGACACAGAGGACGAGCCCGCAACGACATCGAAAAAGCCAGCACCCAAAAAGAAGACCAAGAAGGTCGTCGCAGACTCATGGGAAGACTCCGACTCAGACTCCGATGCAGAGCCTGAAGCCGAATCACAGTCAAACAAGCCAACTCCCACCGCGACACCTGCACCACCTCCCCCAACGCCCATGTCGCCCGTCGGTGGCTTACCATGGGAATCTCCATCAGGAAGTCCCGGTCCTCGCGCCGGAGCTGACCCGGATAAACGGCCTGAGAAGACAGATGCCGTGGCTCGTCGTATGATCGCTGCTGGACTAGGCCTCAAGGCACCAAAACAGACGGAGGAGCAAAGGGCGTACCAGAGGAGTGTTCGTGAGCAGGAGAAGAAGAGGAGGGAGCAAGAGAAGGAGGAGGAAAAGAAACGACAGGCTGATGTTGAGAAGGCAAAGGCAGCTATTTGGGATGATTAACTGAATCTCTTATTAACAAGCTCGGATGACTGTTTCTTAAATCAACTTTATCAAAATCCCTCATTGGCACCTGAAGTAACGGTTTGGAGGCATTCCACTGGTATAAATATTGAGTCCTCTTACTGGCAAATGCGAGAGTTGGTATTGACATATTGAAGCAAGAGAGAAACAGGTGCAAATCTTCTCGCATGGCAGACAACAAGAGCTTACAATGCATGTTTCTTATTAGGCAACCCTCAGAGAACTTCCTGAATCGAGAGACTTAGAGTCAAAGAGAAAAAGATACAGGATAGAGTATATAAGTCATCAAGATTGAGAAATACATATCAGCAGATCCCTTCTACCGACGACACGACTATTCATTCTGTCCGGTCCGAGGTACATGCTGCTTGGGTTTCGGACTTGAACAGTTTACTTTATATGCGTAATGTTGCTTATTCTGGTTCATAGGATCATGTTTAAACGATCATATACACATTCGGGGACTTTACGTAATGGTCAATATGATGCAAGCAAAATTCGTGTATCGAGCAATCGCGGCCGAACCGCAGGTATCATTGCATTGTCATTTCTCAATCTCGGTTTGCCCAGACAGTAGCAATGCTCTCAAACTTTTCATGACCACACGCTGGAAATGCTTGTCTCTGTACCTCCTCGGTTCTTGAAAGCTCACAGGCGCAGCGTGTGATTCATGTGCCATATGGTTTCATGGCATGAAAGCCCATGCCGACCACATGACTACCAAAACAAACCCAACTTTGACTCCGTGTATAAGTCTGAAGACAGACTTTCGATCTTGTTTTCGTTGACAGTGGTATCTTTCTCGCCAAACATCCACCATGTCCCAAAAATTCCATCTCAACCGGCAACCAGGGGTATTCTTCGTTTTTTTGGTCTCAGCTTTTCGTTGCATGACTGGGTATAAGGAGTGGACGTCAAGTCATCAAAAGAGAACCCCCGATTCCATATAAACCAGGAAAAAGCAAAAATCAACATAAAATAAAAAACAGGAAAGCACTCAAACGCAAATCAGGTAAAACAAACATGGCAAGACGTAAACCGACCGATGCACAAGTCGACGTTCCAGGGTATTTTTACGCCAGGGTATATCCAGCCGGGGTATTTGCATGTAGAGGTTCTAACACGGGGGAATCTAACGGAAAGGCCCAATAGGGGCGGGGTATCCTGAATTCATAGAATGAGAAGTGGAAGGGCGCCCGCTGTCGCCGGACGCGCGGGTGCTGTGGCGAGGTGTGACATCGCCAGGTTGGGGAATGGACAACTTGTTGTCCATGTGAGTGCCGAAGGTTCGAGGAGCCCAAGGATTGTCGTCGTCAGGGAGGTTGACGCCGCTATCGTTCCAGGGGTTTCGGTCGGCGTTGAAGCTGCGGGTCGATTCGATCGAAATAAGCGACGACTTGGAGACGTTGCTTGAACCCTTGAAAAAGTTGCCGTTGCCAGAATGAGAGCTGTTCTTTCTGCGGTCCAAGAAAGATGAAATTGACGTCATACTGCCAGGCTTTCGGAGACGGTCGAGAATACTGCTTCGCTCGCGAGCGACTTCATCGCCAAAGCCAGTCTTGATGGGAGAATCAGTGGCGACAGGTGCAGGAGCGTGCTGCAGAAGCTTAGAGTCGAAGTACTGCAAAGAATCTTCAAACGAGTCGGATTTGGGGCGAGGGAGAGCGCCTTTAACAACATTGATCTCAGCTCCGGAAGTTGCGAATTGAGACTGAATGAAGTCCATAGCATCACGTAGACCACCAGCGTTATTGCGGGTGAACCCCCAAAGAAGAGTGACCGTAGGCTCGCCGTTCTCAGTGAGTTCGTCGGGGTTCTGCCTAACGCTAAGTTCAACCTCATGCTGGCTCTTCAGCTTAGGCACGAGGTCATGAGCAAATTCAGGAGACTCGAGGAACTTGACCAGCTCAGGAGTCCTGGCGAGAACAAGTTCATGCTTATCTGGGACCATGCCGAGAAACTCATCGACACAGTGGGGAACCTGCCACTGTGGACCGTTAACAGTAACCTCATCACTGGCTTGCTCAGTGCTGGGGAAGTTGATCTTGCAGTTGTACTTCTGCTCCAGGTCATCGATCTCAGGAAGTCTGGCAATAAGCTGACGATGATAGAGGCGGTCAACGCTGACAATCTGAGATGTGTACTCAGAATCCTATCGATTCTGTTAGCATTGAACGAGTGGTGGCATTAGGCGATACTTACAGCACGATCGACCATCTCCAAGATCTCGTTCTTTACAGCGTCCAAATTTTGGGCATTTCGAGCTGGTGTGCGGCAGATGACATTGTCAACTTTGATATCGTCGTCTTCTCGACCCATTCCGCCTGTGATATGGTTAGTAAGCTAATGACTGATATTGGAGCAATGGGGATTCCCACCTCTATCCATAGCATTGGAGAACTTGACGAAGACCGAGTGCTTCTTCATGATGCGCTGGATGTGCTGGCCACCAATACCGATGATGCGTTTGTGGTACTGATCGGGCACATGGAACGAAATAGATGCGGGCATTTCTTGCTCCACAAGAGTGAGGCCCTGCTTCATGGATTCATAAGTTGCTGCCATGACATCAATGTTGAAGTTGTACTCGTTGAAACCATCAAAAATGATCTGAACATTGCTCTGTCCCATTATCTTGTTGATTTTGCCGTTCTTTTTGCCACTGACGAATTCCTTATGCTCATTGGCAAGCTCAATCTTGACGCGGATTTGGTACTGAGATTGAGAAATGAACTTCATCTCCGATATGACTTGAAGAGCTGTCTTGACAGCGTCATCAGAGCCAGTGATGGTGAAACTGAGTTTGTCGAAGGAAAGGTCGGCATCGGAGTTGGCGCAGATATCAACAAGCAAACTCTTGATGTCGTTGGGGTGAGGGAAATGTCTGGCATCAGCGGGCTGAATGAACCATCCCGCACTGTAGAATTGACCAGCCTGTGCTAAAGTTAGCGAGGTGTCTATTCAATTTCAGATATTACTTACCAAGGACATAATCTCTCGCACAGTTCGCTCAACGTGAAGACCTTCGCTTCCTTGAACTCGGACCATGTTACGCTGAGTAGCCAAGGGAGGGAACATGATGAAGGTGCCATTGGCCTCGAGAATCTTCCGAACCTTGTCTAGACGACCCAGCAGAATACTGTCAATCTTGGCAGCAGGAATTGTTACGTCCTTAACGTACAACCTGATGCGCTGGACAGTTTCGTGAAGTTTCTGCTTTGCTAATTCAATAGCTTGGGGTGTTTCACCAGTGATAAAAATATCGTTGGGGTCACGGCGGGTCGCTTTAGGAGGACAGTAGCGGTACATTGCCGAGAACGGAGGTGGAAAGTAGATGGCAGTTCCAGTGGAAGACTCAATAAGCTTGATGTTCTTGCGATGTCGGCCACAGACAAGCTGGTGGAGGGAAGCCTCGAGTTTGGTACCATCGACAATTCGGCCGAGCTGTATTAGTGTTAGATGCGTTAGATAAACATGGTTAAGCAGGAAACAGTACCAGAGTATCAATGTGGATCAGGACACGAGCCTTTGCATGCTCGGATGATAGTATATCACCGTAGATAGCAACTCTCCATCGCTGATCCATGCGTAATTCAGCATCACCAGTCACACCATCAACAACAGGGGTCAATTTAGGGCCGAGAAGAAAGATATCAACGCCACAGAAGGTGGAGATGTAATCGAGGGTATCAGTAACAGGCTTTTTGAGCACTCCGGCATTGAGGTCGCAAACGAGTTGACCATCAATATCAATGGTGGTGCAACGCTGTAGAAAGTGTTAGAGAAGAGCTTCGAATTATACCAGGAAAGTCCAGATGCAGAATCGTAGGAACATACAAGAGAAATGGGGGTATCATTCAAAATGGTCTCTCGGCTCTTGTGGACCAGCTCTGGAGAGCCCGAGAGACAAACAGTAGCAACCTGTTGGCCTTTTCCGCCCTTGAGCATTGTCGACAGGACATACGCCTCAACAGGAAGCGGCCCGTTGGTAATCTCCTGGCACATCCTGTGGAGGTTGTTGAGGTTCTGAACATGAACAGGCAGCTCGTGAATCTGGACGTCGTCCGGCGCGTCCTCGGGGTGTGTCCATCGTAGGACAGCGTCAGTGGTCGCGTGAAGAATGTCCTCAGTATCGGGGCCCGCAAGATCGGAAGCGAATGGGATGTTGAACGAGTAGAGAATGGTAGCATCGGCTGCTTGAGGGGAAGCCATGGGCTGACCGGGTTGAGCGGCGTTCTTGGGATGGTTGAGGGCATTCATGGGCATATTAGGACGGCCCATTACGAAATTGGGAGCCATTCTTTCCGACCAGTGACGCATATTTGCCAACTTATTCATGATGAGGATCGAGAAAGTTGCGTCGTTGTTATCGTCGTCGTCGTCCGAATCGTGGGCGGGCGGCGACGGTCAGCCAAGGTGGAGGAGGCTGAACGGAAGAGGACGCCGGGGGTGGAGAAGAGCCAAAGAGAAGAGAATACAAAGATGATGCGAGATTGATCAAGAGAAAGCGAAAACTGTATGGGTATCGAAGAAGCTGAGGTCAAGAAAGGGCTGTGAGTATGGGGGGAAGGGGGTAAGGGTAGGGGGAAGGGGAAGGAAAGAGAGATGGTGGTATTTGTGAGCTCTTTCCACGTCTGACGAGGGAGAGAGGTTAGGTAGGTTGAGTGGAGGTTGACTGAGGTGAGGTGAGGTGAGGGAAGTGGAAGGGGAGAGGATAACTATAGCGGAGCCAAGCGTAAAAAGCGAGGAACGTCAGGCCAAGTCAAGTCAGCAGAGACGTACCTACCTTCTGTGCCGTACCCTACCGTCCGTACCAGCTCGAGTACAAGACAAGCCAAAGTGGGTGATGAGCCAGGCGGCAGGTACAGCTGCTTAGTGCCCTTGTCCGCCTACCGTAACTTGCCAGGGAAGTAACTGGGGGGGAGATTTAAAAGAGGGCCCTAGCACGCTGGGACTAAACCCGAAGGCCTGTCTGAGATGGAATCTGAACTCAATTTCACGATACAGCAGAAGAAATGACAACGCAAAACATCATAATTGAAATGAAACAAGGACTCAAATAAGAGAAGCCCTAATACAACTGCATTTCAAACATCCCACGCATGGTACAAGGTTTTGCGTCGAAAAACCCTCGGAATGGTGGTCACTCTAATCATGGTCGAGGGTTTTGATAAGAACAGCCACAGTGAACACTGAACCACTAAACCATCGACAATCCCTGACTGCCCTGGAACCAAGAGAAGTTTCAATTGCGCAGATCATCAAAGTTACGAATCCCAACGACCGTTCTCACCTGAGGAGTATAACTCGAAGCATCATACGGCACATTCTTCGCAATGACGATATGTTGAACCAACATAACCTCAAAACTAAGCCATTGCCAACCCTCAGCTTCTCGGTTCGATTGCCTTCGAATAACAACGTCTTAGGGCATGGATGTTTTCTGGGTAGTGGAGACCATCAGCCCAGGCTAGGAGCCTCCTACTGCAGGCCACAGTATCATCGTGGTCACTCCAACAGGTATAGGCAGTCTCCTTCCGCGGAACGCTACGTTGAACCGGCTGCGTTCCAAACACTTTAGTGGGATGTTCAAGGGCTTCGGCAAAGCATAGCAAAGCCTCCGAGTCGTCCATGGAGCGAAACTCAGTCAAGACCTGAAGTATGGATACTCGACACATCACCAAATCCACAAGCTGTCTCAAGTACCGCTGCCTCGAACACTAACACGAAGAGAGCCTGGATACAGGGCAACAGCTGCATGAGGATGGGTCACCTCCTCCAATGGCCAACCACTCAAGTCTGTTTACTGTTAAGGGCAGCTAAAACCCATGGTTTTGCATCATAGTATCCAGATCCAAGACGATCTTTTGGCCAGGCCGACCACCGCATAAGCACAACAGCTTGTAACCAGAGAAAACACCAACACACACCACACACCACACATCGCATCTATCATCAGCTGTATCTCGCTTTGTTGCTAATGTTAGGCCAAGCTTCGATCACACGGCGTCCCCACACACGACAAGGTCCTCGTCTGGTGTCTGTGTGACTTGTCCCAGGACGAACAAGGGAGCTGCTGATTCGAGGACAGACCCATGCAAGCCGGCCTCTCACCAAGAGTCCGGCACCGGCTCAGCCACTAGCAACTCGTCATTGAATATATCAGACTTTCAGGGACCTTATTATTTGACTGGCACTGCAGAATGCAGAATGGCAATGTGCACACAGACTAAAGGAAACAAGGATCTACAGTCTCGACTTCTGTACTGCAACATTGCGAACTCCTGCATTTATCAAGGGAGCTGGCATTCTTGGGGTCCGTTTGTATGTGGCACAACAATTCTGGATCGCTGGGCAGACGCGCATATGCGCGTCCTAGCATCTTTTGTTGATTGCTTCACTGACTTGCCTCCTCGAATTCCAGTGGCTTCCGTCGAATGCATGGTCATCACGAGCCACGCCACTCTTTTCACCCGTCAACCTTGAAGCTTATAGCCATGCTGTCAGTAACCTACATATTCTGTTACTAACTAACCACATCTGCAACTGGTTCAGTAGTTGGGCCAGCTGAATGCCCTTTTTGAGGAGCAGTTGATAAGCGAAGCCCAATCTGTGAACTGACTCGACAGGACATGTGAGAGTTGATAGTCAGACTCACCAGCCATGTCTCAAACATTGATATTCGTACCTTGGGCTCGTGACATTTGCACTGACCTTTCAGGGTCCTTGCACATTCCGACTGGTCAGGAATTGGGACTCGACCTCTCAGGTGTCCGTGAACTCTGCAGAGTCTTGAGAGACTGCCACGACAGCATGATTGATACTACTCAGAACAGCATATTCATGGTGTTTGATGAAACCCCTAGGACGAGTCTACGGTCACATCTATACGATCCCTACCTATCACCTCATTCCTTCGAACCATATCAGATAGTCTTGTTTATTCATCAAGCGGTCTATCATATGACCAACTGCTTGGTGTTTTTGTTACAATTCGCGCTTATATCGGATATAATTTTATCTCACACGTTTGGCTGCACTTTCTCGCTTCTCGCTCTCTTCAAAACTGCTCTCATGGTGGGGTTCACCGTATTGAGCTTCGTCCTGTTGTGCTCAGACGGATCCTTGCAGGCCATGATGAACTATCTTCATTGTCAACATAGAAACACAAATTAATGTTTGGCCAATTGGGGACTTACTATTGCGGAGAACAGACGAGTGCTCGACATTTTTTTCTGAACCATGGCCTCCTCTATTATTATTGCTACGCATTGAGTCCAAAGATAGTAGTTGCAGAGATAGACGTTGTCATTCAACTTCTCGGGTATAAAAAGGTCTTCATACGTCATTAAATTATATTGGTAATCCCGTCTGATGTCGACTGGATCCGCTTCTATTTTAATACCGCTTTGGTTTGACCCAGCTTAACGATAAACCTCCCTCCTCGCATCGTCTGCGTAAACAATCTCCTGGGTTGCTCCTCGCGGTCTCTCAATGAAAGCAATCTCCTCTCCACCTCTCATCGGTTGATTGTAGTACCGCTCCACTGGCCGCGTGCTGTACTCCTGTCTCACAACGCCTGGCTCTGCAGCAATGGCACCGTATTCCCGCACGTAAGGCTGTACAGCTTCACGGTGGCTCTCCGGGTGGACGCTTGTGGCATATTGACGTACGGGTGGCTCGGGTCGCACGCTCTGCACTCGGCCGTAGTCCCGGGCGACCTCATACCGAACAGGTTCCGCTGGTCGCACGCTGGTCGGCCTTGTAATATAGTCTCTCGTCCCGTCTTCCATACGTCTTCGTTCTGGAGGTGGCATCACCTCAACGAACTCTCCTGAGGGACCTAATGGCCGTGTTGAATGCTCACGTGGCATATGGTCCCTGTAATCCTGCGATACGTACTCCGGTTGTGTAACAACCCGTCTAGGCATATACGATGGAGAACGTCTCCTGTAGACTGCCCCTCCTTCATAGGCCTCCATCGCCTGGGGCCTCCGAACCGGAGCTTGTTCATACAAGATCTCGGGTTCGCCGGATCGAGCGGGAGGAACTGCGGAGTGCCGGATGATCGTCGAACGTGGTGGCTCAATATACTCACGTCCATAGGCATCTACGATAATTCGAGTTGGCGGCGGCCTTTGAGGTGCCATAAACACATCGCCTTCTGGTCTTAAGCCTGTAGGCGACGCTTCATGTGCTCCCGCATAAGGCCACGATGGGCGCTGATAACCGTCGTTAGGTCGAACTTGGGAACTTGCTGTTCCCCCGATCGACTGCCTCTGGTGATGAGGTGGAACATGGGGGGGTTGTTCGATAGGATAAGGTCCACCGGAGACGTATCGATCATCGGCGTATTCTCTCCTATAGACAGCAGTTCCCGGAACAGTGGTGCTCGCTGCACGTTGTGATGAAAAGCCTACTCTGTCATAGCCTAATGGCACTCGATCATCCCGCTCTTGACGATTATGCACAGGTTCTGGAGGATAGAGGCCAGGGTGAGGCTCGTAACGAACTTCTTCGTAGACAGGTTCATCTGGTTGTTGCTGAGCGTACCTTTGACGTTTATTGGGACGAACATAGGAAGGGGCATTCATAGGGGAAGGAGATCTAGGTTCAGCCTTGATATAGGGCGTTGGTTCAGTCTCGGGCGCTTGCCTGTCAGCCTTTCTCTTCTTCTTCTTTGCTCTCCGCCTATCTGATGCACCGCCTTGAGGCGAGCTTTCAGGACTGGTAACAGCGACTGGCTCATTTCTGAGAGCAGCAACTTGGGCGGGAGTACCAGTGGACGAAGTCGACGTCGCTTCGGCAGCCCGAGGTCGTGGCCTAGCATTCATTAATGGCGAAGTCTGTGCATTCTGAGGCGATCTCTCATGTGCCCTGATCAGAGGAGAAGGGGGACGGCTGTCAATATAGTGTTCACGGGGAGGCTGTCGAGAGGCTGGCCCGTAATCAACTCTACGCCTATCGCTCTCCCCATTACTAGGACTTTGTCTGGCACTTCTATCCTGCCTAGGTGTTGTCTTGTCTGCATTATAAGCAGCAAGGCCAGGGACGTGTCCAGGTCGTGAAGTGCTGTTAACGCTCGATGAACCGACGAAAGGTTGTGGATTTGCATAGGCTTCTTGAGGCCTAGTGTGGCTCGGTGCGTACGGCTCCGGAGGGACTTGCTCTAAACCAGTCGGACGTTGTCGCGAAATAGGAGCGTTTTGGTTGTTTATCGTTGGTAACGACTCCGCGTCAGGCACTTGTGCCTCTTCGGATTCGTTACGGACTCGGGAAGTCAAAACGGACGACGGAGTGTTGTGCTGCGACGAGTAGAAAGTGTTGTCATCGAAGGAATCACTTGCATTGTCATGGTCAGTAGCATCAGCAGCAGCAGCAGTGTCGGGACCAGAAGTGCTTTCCACAAGCGTCAAGGCTTTCGTCAAGACCTCGTTAAGATCAAATTCGACGATAGGCTCCCCTTGCACCACGCTCTTAGCAGTTACCCGTCTCTGGTCAACCTCGTCTCTCAAAGCACGTTCCAGCCTCTGTCTCTGCAACTTCAACTCTGCTTTAACCAAATCGTCAGACTTCTCTAGGAAGATGGGGTTAATCTCAGTAGATCCTGTCCCGTATGGTTTGCTGTTGTTGGTAGTGCTAGAGGGAACAGTAGCAGACACGTCTGCTTGCTTTTCGTTCGCGATAGTCTGCCGTTGAATGTCTGACTGATGACTCGGCGCTCCATCTGTCATGGAAACATCTATCGGACGGATGGAAGATTGTGTGGAAGGGATAAAGTTAGAGGGGACCTTGATAGTCGGATGTTTACCAGAAAGAACAGTGGTCGAGAAGCGTACAATCTTCTCATACTGCTCAATCTGATGACGGCCCTTCTCAGCAAGACCAGCGAGCTCATTCCTACTAGCGAGATGCCCCTGAAGAGCAATCTCTTGTGCCATGATGGCGGCGAGTGAAATGTACACGTCGCGTCACCAGGTGACACCAGATTAAGGAGCAAGCAAAATAGGACCAACTCCAAGTTAGCTCAGCGAAAATGTTGGGTAATAAGCCCGACCGACAACGCCACTCTTGACGCGATATGACGCGGACCAAAGAGATACTACTGATCAAAATGTAAATGCGCTGTTTCGGTTGTTGTTCAAGAAATGGAAGCTTTGAAGTTGGAGGTCTGTGCAATTAATGGAGTGGTTTTTAGAGCCACTGGCGCCTTGACTTCGGGTGGACGTGAAAGGCAAACAATTTAGGCGGTGTAAGCGGCAGAATTCTTTCACTACAGGGTCTTGAGATGGCCGTTGAACCTGCTGATCAGATGAAAATACTGACTTTGAAACCAAATTAATTATCAATATTCGAAATCGACAAATACTTGCTCCAACTGACTAATGGGCTTCGAGTTGGTTCGTTAAATCAGGTGGCATTGGGCTGAATGTCATGTGTCTAGTGTCATAGCTCTTATACAGACTGTCCATTGAGCCTCAATATCAAGAACACGACACTTGTGGTCTTACAAATTCGATCCCTGAAGATACCAAAGACTAATATCCATGCTTACAGCAAGCTTGAATAGTCCAATAGCCCCGGATTCCTCGTCCCGTCCTATCATTTAGTGTCCGAACCATGAGGCTCATGATGAACTCCCTGTAAGCATGGATCATGGAAACGACTATAACGCGTGGCTCGACAGCCTCCTTTAAGCCCATGATACTTCATGCCATGAGGATCTAGGAATTGAAGTCCTATGACCTATTTACACGTGTTTTTGAATGGAGATTCAATTAAAAAAAGGGGACATCTTCCATGAATTCCTCGAATGTTTGCTCAACAACAACTCATTTAGTATCAAATGCAACTAGTGAAAGAATGACAGTCCCGCGATCGGAGACCGGAAGACGATCCGCGCTGAACTTTGCTCATTTTTCAGCCACACCGCAAGAGTCATTGGGTGAAACGTAGCGTATCAACGGATACCGACGATATCCTACGGATACTGCAGAGTTGATCCAAAGAAGTGATTGATTACTTACTAGCCTTGCACTTTTAGCCCAGATCGCCATTCCCTATAAAATTCTATTTAAACTGTCTCTCTCCTCCTCATACCCATTCAATGTACCAATTACGACCACGTGTTACCGCAATATCATCATTGAAGCGCTTCTCAAAACCTTTAGTTGCCTCCTCTTTATTGCTCAACTCAAATCTTACACCTCGCTATCCTCACTTTGCCAACCACAACCCCAGCCTCAATATTCAGACTCATACCAAATTCACTATGGGCAGTACTCAGGACATGAACCCGGGAAAGCCGGTCCTATTTTTGTTAGTCTTTTCGAAATTTACCTCATATAGGCTCCGAGCTAACTTTGTTGCAGCGATATTGACAACTGCCTCTATCCGAGGAGTAAGTTTAAACTGAAATTGATGTCTATGACTACTTGAAACTAACAATGAATAAAGGCTCAAAAGTCCATGACATAATGGCTAAACTCATCGATGAGTACTTCTCTAAACACCTGGAGATTCCATGGGACGAAGCAGTGAAACTCCACAAAGAGTATTACACCAATTACGGCCTCGCCATTGAGGGGCTGGTGCGCCATCACCAAATCGACCCCTTGGATTACAACGCCAAAGTGGACGATGCTTTACCCCTCGAAGGAATCATCAAGCCCAACCCTGAGCTACGCGAACTCCTTGACGACATCGACAAGTCCAAGGTTACTGTATGGCTTTTCACCAATGCTTATGTGAACCACGGAAAGAGAGTTGTTCGCCTCTTGGGCATCGAGGACATCTTCGATGGTCTCACATACTGCAACTATGCGGAACAACCGTTACTCTGCAAGCCGGACCCCCGCATGTACGAGAAGGCCATGCGCGAAGCACGCGTCGAGCGTGTGGAGGATTGTTACTTTGTTGGTAAGTTCCCTACGTTGTTACTCATAACTCCATCTAACCCCTTCTAGATGATTCTGCCTTGAACTGCACAGAAGCCAAGAAATTTGGTTGGACGGCTGCTCATCTCGTTGAGGAGGGAGTACCAGCTCCAAAAACCCCTGCTTCGCAATACCAAATCCAGCACCTACGAGAGCTAAGGAACGTCTACCCGCAGTTCTTCAAATCTACTTCAAACAAGGCATAGATTACGACATTTGAGGTCGGTTACGAAATAGAGAGGATTATGAGGCATGTGATAGAGTTTTAGACGGTGGCGTTCAAGGCGCTCACTCGGCTGAGATACCTTTGTATTATGGTTTTTCAACAAAAATAATAAAATGCTCCTTTAAATGGGCTACCAGCCTTCCATTTGGTTATTCGTACCCTGAACTCCGCGCTGCGCATCAATAAACGTGGCAAAAAAAACTGAAACCGTACTCAAGGTCGTCGGATGCTGCGAATAACACTGTCAAGCTCAGACAAAATCTGATCTTTCTCCTTGATTGCTTCTTGGCGTTGGGCCTCAGCAATCTTCAGATCCTCTTCAAGCTCTTTGATGTATCTCTCCTGATCCATTTCACTGTTGTCTAAACCGGGGAGAGATGAGATGAGGACCTCAATTTGCTGCTCTTTGAGAACGAGATCTTGTGACAACTCTACCATACCAGCTCGAAAGTCGTCAGGAGGGAGTGAATCAACTGAAACAGTTAGCTACTTTCGTTTGAGATAAGAAATAGACTTTAGCATACCTTCTTTTGGAGCATCTTTCACTTCACGAATCTTGTCATTAGGACCAAGTGTTTCAAGGTCATGTCGCCTGTTGACATAGTGAAGACATGCCACGAACTGTGTGGCCAGCTGTAAAATGTATTAGCGAAATCTTTTTTTCCCACATAGACTCAAAGTTCACCTGATCTACAGCATCTTGAAGTTGTGTTAAGCGATCACCCATGATGTTGGCTGTAAGCTCTCAAACAAAGTAATTGTGATGATCTAAAGCTTCAAGGCTCACTCACACCTCAATCTCACACTGACTTAGCAGTCACGTGGAGATATGCCGGAGGTCGGGCAATTAACAATCCGCCCCGGAAATTCTGGAGCTCAGTGATGGAAGGAAGTGAACACCGTTGTCTCTGGGCGAGCTATGACATGATTGGCACGGCATGGTCCAAGTGGCAGCAACACCATGTTTGTTCTTTCTTAAACCTGTCAAGTCCACATCTTTTACTTCGCCTTCGTGCGCTTCTGTCTCTCTCATCCAATTCTTTAACCCAATAAACTTTTTCTCTACACTCTTTTTTACACTGACTTTCCAGTAAAATATGTCTGAACAACCTCCCCAGCCAGGCCCTCAGCCTGGGCAGATTCCCATGCCGCAACCCGGGCAGCGACCTACACCCGAGCAGATTCAGGCAATGCAGCGCCAACTTGCCATTGATGCTGAAAAGAACGGCATGACCGTCCCTGAGTTTATTGAGCACATTAAGAGACAAGCGCAAGAGCAAATGAGAATGCGCGCACAACAGCAACAGCAAGGTCATGATCACGACCACGACCACGACCACGACCACGACCACAACGGTCATTCTCATGATCACGGTCAACCTCCCCAGCAGGGTCGCGCTCAGCCTATCACCCCAGGACCCCCCAACCCCAAGGCCATTGCTCTTGCAACGTTCCTCCGAGGCCAAGATCTTAAGCCTAGAACTGTTATTCTCAACGGCGAGCGAAAGGACATGTTTCGAGGTAAATCAAAATGCCACCAATCTCTTCCAAGTCAGTTACTAACAACTCGTAGTCAAGCGAGCCCTCCGAGCTCTTCAGTCCCCCGCATATGAGAAAGCCCGCAAGAAGAACCCTCTTCTCCCCGAAATCACCGACCGAGCTTCTCTCGAGAACACTTTCAAGTTGCTACCCCTGAGCATGCTTGCCCTCCGAGTTTCCAAGGTCGAACCCCAGGCAGGCCCTAATGGAAAGAAGCCCAAGCGTGTCAAGGGTCAGTGGACAGTCAAGATTGAGCAGCAACAAGAGGCAAAAGACGATATGTACTATTGCTGGCTGTGGGAAGGCAGTCAGCTCAAGCGTAAGATCTACGCTGGTCTTGCACTCCTTGCTATCTTCGCAATCGTTTTGTACCCTCTGTGGCCTCTGGTGTTGCGCCAGGGTGTCTACTACCTCAGTTGGGGACTTCTTGGTCTGCTCGGACTGTTCTTCTTGATGGCTATCTTTCGTGTTATCCTGTTCTGTATCACCTACTTCACTACACCACCCGGTCTATGGCTTTTCCCCAACTTGTGGGAGGACGTTTCGTTCATGGACAGTTTCAGACCTGTTTGGGCCTGGCACGAGGTCAGTTAACTATATTACGAGAGAATGAAGCACATTGCTAACATACACGCAGACCGAGAAGAAGAAGAAAAAGAAGAAGTCTGCTGCCCCTGGAACCAGCGCCAACCCCGCCTTCGCAGCCGCTACTGGACAAGTTGCGCCCACGACTGCGACTACAACTGGTACAGATACTCAGGTCAAGACTGGCGATGTGCAGCAACGGCACTACGAGGCCCCAAGAGTTGAAGAGCTCGATGACGACGAGTAGATTGTATATAAAAGTGACCTTGGGTGATGGCGTTTCTTGGAAGCTGTAATAGTATCGTGGATCCATTGTGTAGTGCGGGAAGCAATCAAAGCGGTTTCCTTTTTGTATGCGATTTTCCAAGTTTATACAGACATGGTACAATGTCAATTTTAACGTGAATTGTTCATATTTTGGATGGATATCTAGAAAACAAACCGAAGCACCCCGCCATAGTCCATGATAAGAACAGCAAAATCGAGTCGCCTCGTTTTCCTCCAATGAAGGGGATTTTCTACAGCACTTTTGAATAGTCGATCCTTGTCAATAACAAGAGCTCGATACACTTCACCCCTCCATGAGAGCTCCTCAGGACTGTAATGTCAGATGTTTCCAAAAGAAGGTACCGCCCTTAAGCTCTCCATTTGGACTTAGACCGTATTTTGGGATCTGGCCAAGTTCGACATAACCAAGCTTTTTATACACCTCTTCTGCTGGGCTTCCGGTCTCGGTGTCGAGAAGCTAAGCATTTGTTAGTTACCGGGACTTACATGCCGAAGAGCTAACGTTAGTATAGTTATGATGGACATTGAACTTACCAGAATAGTTCGACCACGCTTGGTCGCTTCAGCTTCGAGAGCAGAAATCAAAGTTCTGGCACCTCCTCGACCGCGAAAAGCTTTGTGAACAAGAAGCTTTTCCACGACGCCGCGGAATGGGCCAGTTTCCGAAGAGGGCATATTTAGCATGACAACGCCCACCACATGGGAGCCGTTCGGCCGAGCTCCAGGTTCGCATTCGTTCAGGAGAATGAATATGAGTCGCTTTCCGTCTGCGACCTCTGCAATTCGCTCTTTCCACCAAGCAAGAAGTTTCTCGTGAGATAGGGGCGGGAGGAATTCTGCAATGGTTCGGTCGTGAGTGATACAGGAGGCATGAATGGCTGCAAGATAGGGAATCAAGTGCCCATGCTGCCCTGGTGAGAAGAGGGCCACTGTTCCTGAAGCTGTCATGTTGAGAGCTCCTTATTAATTGGGCGAGGTTATGTCAAGAGTTGTGTGTTTGAGTGGTTCCCGGAGAGTAAGTTGTGTCTCAGTGTACAATGCTTCTTTGTCGTATACGCATCTGCAAGGTGGAGACCATGTATCCAACCGCAATGGATATTTGAATTGAACGGTGAAATATCGGTCAACGCTGGTGTAGAAATTCTGTAAAAGATTTATTAGAGGCTTGATTTAATAGGCAACTCGATGAGGGGAGATATTGGTTATCCGATTTAGGAGCTCGAACCCGGTACAAGCTAGTAGACTTACTTGAAGAGTTTAAACTTAGGCTGGTGGGCTCTCAAGCAAGCAGTTGAAAGTTAGGAAATGTAAGAATTGTAAGACAAAGTGTTGAGAAAAAGAAGTCGGAGAATTTCGGCCCAGGGAGTTAAATGGCCATGGATGTTTGAAGAGACCTGAGCATCAAAACGTGACTGATTACCTGCCTTGCCTCTCCTTAGGTAGGTTAGGTTACTACAGTATTAAGATGAGGTCTCTCCGGGTGAGTGAGTGTGATTCAGTGAACCAGAAAAAAAGTCGCCTTCTCCCCTGCAGCCACTGCTATCCAAGGTAACTCTGGGCTCGTGGATGCAAGGTTGGGTTACAAGGTGCCCTAGCAAAGATGGAAGTTTTCCAGGTTCCAGTTCCTGAGATGGTCGCCTCCATCAGTGGAGTGCCCTGTAGTTACCGTCCCGGCGGGTAATTGCAGCAGCCCTGAAGGTACGGTAAGTTGCCTGTGTGGATTTTAGCGTATAAGTTGACGGCTCCGCAACCCATCAAATCACCCCCGGTCTGACTAAGGTAGTTAGACCATCAGCCCAGCCAAGTTTGTTCTTTTACACCCTCAAAACGACTCTGGATTGGGTCGAATCCTTCACTTTCTGCGGAAGCAATCGTGAAGAGGTTGCACGCCACGGTTGCCACAGATTGTCGGAAGAAAATGGCGCATATACAAATCTGGCAGTTGAGATTTGCTTTTGCTGGTGGCTTCAAACTGGTTGAGTTGACCGTCAAGGCTAAGAGTTGAGGCCTGAAAGCTAGTAAATCCTTGGATGGGTTGATGAAACGAGACGGGACGGGACGGATGGAGAACGGGAACTCTTCATACTGTCTGTCCACTATATTCCTTGTAACTCACTCGTATTGGGTCTGAGTAGAAGGTGGATAACATCGTGACAGAGGCCCTTCTATCAGCTCATCCTTCGGTGTTCAAACACCGAGTCATGGACACCTGTAGCTAATCCAGGACAATCACATTGTTAATCTCGGTTGCCGAAAAACAGGCTGAGTGATCCATATCAGCGTTGGTATCATAATCAGTTGACTGAGCTCATACCAGTTATAGTGTCTAATACAAGGAAGCATAACAGGCTGTCAGGGCTATTCATCTTTGGATGAGTTGTTGCAGGCCAAGAGGTTTCATCGGATTTAAACAACAGTTCACACGAGCCTTACCTGTTGGCTCGAGCCGGGGGGGGGCCAACTAAGCAAGCTTAGTTGGGCACAAAACCGTGAGACATGCACAAAAGGGTGAGACAGGAGAAGCTGAAAAGATAGGAGATAATAAACTTAAAAAATATTATAAAAGAGGAAATAAAATACTTAAAAAATATTTAAAAATTATATTAATATAATATAAAGCTTATAGAAAAATTAGAATTTTAATTTAAAATCTTATTAGCTTATATAGGCTATTAAATATTAGTTTTAAATATTAAAAAAGTAATTTTTTAATAATTCTTTAATAATTAAAGAAATATCTTATAAATTAAATATTATATTTTTATATATATATTTATTAATTATATTTAAAATTTAAATAATATCCTTAAAGATAATTTTATATATATTTTAAAATAAAAGTTTAATAAAAAAAAAAAAATAATATTTTAATATATTTATAAGTTAATTAGAATTTTTAAAGAATTTTAATATATTATAAATATATTAATAAGTTATAAATAAAGCTTAAAATATATATTTAAAGCTAATATATATTATAAGATTAAGCTTTAAATATTTTAAAATATTAATTTAAAAAAGCTTTTTTTTATTAAATAAATTAACTAGAATTTTTTAATAATTATATTTAAAGTATTTAAGATATAAATATAATATATAAAAATATATATAGATTCTATAAGCTATATATAAGTTTTAAACTTAAGGTATATTACTTAGTAAATATATATAATATAAAAAAAAAAAATTCTTAAGGAAAATATTATAAATTAAAATATTTAATTATAAAAAAATCTTATAAACTTAAAAAATAAATCTTTAAATAGTTCTTTTTATAAAGAATATTTAGAATTTTTATACTAATTACTAATTAAGCTAGATCTTATATAATAGCTATAATAAGAGGAATTTTC